ACGTACACGTGGCGAGTTAATTCAGTTCTTAACTGGTACGTTTTAATATGTAATCCATTTAGGAGACAAGTATAATTTAGTTATTGCTTGCTATAAGATTTGGCAATATTTTGCTATAAGGACTTTGTTTGGGATGATGTGTGAAAGAGATGTGAATTTTGTGAAGTCTATCATTTTATTTTCCCTCGTCCAGAAATAAATAGAAGTTTAAAGATGAGATTTGTGTTTTTTTTTTCTTTGGATTTATTTATTATAGATACCATCTACGATGAAGATGAAGTACTTCTTGCTTTGGCTGAACAGTTAGGCAACTTCACGCCGTTAGTTGGTGGTCCAGATTATGTTTACTGTTTGCTTCCACCACTTGAAAATTTAGCCACTGTTGAGGAAACCGTAGTGCGTGATAAGGCTGTGGAAAGTTTACGCAAGATCGCTGATAAACATTCAAGTGCCGCCCTCGAAGAACATTTTATTCCAATGATCAGGCGTTTAGCTACCGGTTAGACCGATTTTGTTTAATTTCTAGGATTTTTTAGTTTTGGGACTTGTAAGTACCTGTTATGTTCGGAACTCATATCAACTGATTTATATTATTTGTAAGTGTATTTGCAAAAATAAACAACTGAGCTTTGCATTTGCGATAAAAAAGATTGATGACTATTTGTCAGCTTAAATAAATAGATTATTTCGAAGGATAGTGATATGATATGAAACTCCATACAATTTTTTGAATAGTAATTCGCTTTGGAATTTACAAAATTGTGAAAATAAACGTGCCGGTTGTTCCAAGATGAATATTTGTTTGTTTTCGTCCAGTAGCGTGGAATCCTATTTTCAAATTTATTGCAGGAGATTGGTTCACATCACGAACCTCGGCATGTGGACTCTTCAGTGTTGCTTACCCTAGAGTAAATCCTGCTATAAAAGCAGAACTTCGGAAGTAAGTTTCATATATAAGTTTTATACGGAAGTAAATTTTATACGTACATGGAAGTAAGTTTTATAAGAAATATTTGAAGAATTTTATGATTGACATTGTTTAAAAACATGTTTTTAGTTTGTTTCGGACATTATGTCGCGACGATACACCGATGGTACGACGTGCTGCAGCTTCAAAGTTAGGGGAGTTCGCTAAAGTTTTCGAAGCTGATTTTCTTCGTGACGAACTTCTTCAGATGTTTATGGATTTAGCTTCAGATGAGCAGGTTAAAATTTACATGACAATTTTGTAAAATTTTGAAGGAAATAGGTTTACATGACAATCTAATTCTGAAGAAAACAGGCGTAAACAAATTACACCAAAATTGCTTATAGGATTCTGTGCGATTATTGGCAGTTGAAGCATGTATTTCTATTGCTGTTTTATTGTCAGAAGAGCAGCGCAAAGAGCTCATTAAACCAGTTCTCATTAATTTAATAGAGGATAAAAGCTGGCGTGTGCGTTATATGGTCGCTGAAAAATTCACTGACGTATGCATTTCCACTCATGATGACAATATTTAAAAGAGTGTCGACATTTTTATCAGCAAATGAATTTAATGGGATTCGATATGTTTAATTTGGTTAATACCTAAAAAATAAAGTAAAAATCATCAGCATTTAGATGGTGATTCTATTAAAGTTGATAAATAAAATCTGTCTTTTAAAACTTATATGGGAAGTGAATTTAAAACTATATTTTGGATAATCGTGCCAGCACCAGAAAACACAGTGCTAAGAATATCTCTATCAAATTGGCCTGAAAAATAAAATAAAAACCATTAGCATTAAATGGTGATTCTATTAAATTAAAATTGATATGTGAAATCTGTGAACAGGAAGAGTTAAATATTGAATTTTAAGATACAATCTTCTGTTGGCAAAGATATAACAGTGAACGAGCTTCTTCCAGCATTCAGTAGTCTTCTAAAGGATATGGAAGGTGAAGTACGTAGTGCAGCTGCTGCAAAAATACAAGGTAACATTTTTTACTCTCAAAGGAATGATCTCTTTGAATTATAATTTTATATTATTATATCTTTCAGCATTTTCTGCTGCACTTCCTGCAAGTGGTCGAGAAAAAGCAATTTTGACTTATGTTTTACCTGTTGTAAAGGAGCTTGTTACCGACCCGAATCAGCATGTGAAAACAGCACTTGCATCTGTGGTGATGGGCTTGGCTCCAATGCTTGGAAAAGATCTCACAATGGAGCACCTTCTGCCGATTTATTTGACTCTTTTGCGTGATGAAACTGCTGAAGTTCGATTAAATATAATTTCTTCCCTAGATAAGGTTTGTTTATACGAAAAGTATGTTTTTGATAGGAAGTTTATGATGTTTTTGCAAATATCTAAGTCTATTAACGGAAAACTGATGAGTAGTTTTTTAAATAACAGTTTAAGAAATATTCTGTAAGCAGTAGAATGGAATAAAAAATGTTAGTTGTTGAGGTAAAAGCATTCAATTTTTCATATAAAATTATATGATTTTTCTTTGCAGGTGAACGAAGTGATCGGTGCATCGCAGTTGTCACAGTCTCTGTTACCATCAATTGTAGAATTAGCTGAAGATGGTAAATGGCGAGTACGTTTAGCAATTGTTGATTTCATGCCGTTGCTTGCCGCCCAATTGGTATGCATTTTAACTTAAAGTTTTATGAGCTTTATTTTTGTGAGATTTTATATTAAACAAACCGTTCACTAGGGATTTATTAGATTTAAACATATTCCACTGCATATTACTCCCATCAACACAAAGTGTTAGTCCAAACTTTGACTGTTTAATTCTTTTATTTTGCTATTTCAGGGACAAGAATTTTTCGATGAGAAACTGCTTCCGCTTTGTATGGCATGGCTAACTGATCATGGTAAAACTTAAATCATATCATAATAAATTACAAACCTTCTCATTTACTTTTTTTTTGATTTTCATTGTTTCAGTTCATGCCATACGCGAAGCAGCGACAGGGATTCTGAAACAACTAACAGAAAAATTTGGTGCTGACTGGGCGATGAAACAAGTGGTACCAAAGGTATACATATTTTTCTTGGCAAAAGATAGATGGCCCATTCTCTTTGCCCTTTATTGTCAGTTTTGATCATCTCTCTACATGCTACAAAAACAGCACATTTTAATTCTGTTCTGGAGAACAGGAAGTCGAATGAAGCTTCATATATATTTTTTTTTTCAAGATTTATATGGATCCTCAAACTTTGATTTGATTTCATGCCTTTTGATCCATTTTCTATTTATCGGCGATACACGAACACATTTAATCCATCATTTTTATTGTTACAGGTAACAGCACTTGCAAGTGACACAAACTATTTGCATCGTATGGCATGCTTATTTTGCTTCAACACTCTTTGTGAAGCTCTCGGCGCAGATTATACTATTAAGGAAATTCTACCTGTGGTACAGCAGGTTCCAGCTTGCATTCTTTATCAGTTTCCATTGAAATTTCTAAAAATTTCTCTTATAAAATAACATTTTTCGGGTTGGAATTTTAATCGTGTGCATTCTTTCAGCTAAGCGATGATCATGTACCCAATGTCAGATTCAATGTTGCTAAAACTCTTCTTCGTATTGGTCACACGGTTGATCAGGGGTATGCTTTTTTGTATTAGACAAATTAACACATTAAATGTAAATTGCTTGAGTTATTGAATCATTAATCACCGAAAAGATGAATCGAATCAAGGTTTCTATACTGAAAATTGAAAAATCCTTATGTATGTTTAGCAGATTATTTCCGTTTTTTAGGATAGTTAACAGTCAGATCAAACCATTACTGACTAAAATGTGCAATGATAGCGAATTCGACGTCAGATATTTTGCGGACGAAACGCGAATGGGTTCGTTTTCATTAATGCTTTTCATTATAGGTTTATCCACCATACAGTTAGGATCATTAAGTGATTAATATCAAGATGAGAGTGCATGGCCGAATGGAGTGAAACTTTCGTTAAGTTGAAACCAGATTCTGAGATATCAAAGTACAAAAAAGAAGCATGTTAACTGACAATTATGCTGCTAATAATAATGATGACAGTAGCAGTAGAAGTACTAGCTCTTCCTCTCTTTCATGTGTGATGTGGATTATTACGAAGACGTATGTTTTTTGTATGGAAAACTTTAATTCATGCATTTTCATGTTGGGATTTTTTTCAGCATTGGGTTTGGCAGCTTGATTTTGAAGAATTCACATGAAATCGCAAAATTTGAATTGTTTCCTATCTTAATGGGAGCCGTTTCCATTTAGTTTCATAAATTATGATTTATGGTTTAAGTACTGCACCAATAGAATCTGACAAAATGTTTTTGCAATTTTTATCGCACAAAACAAAATATTTCAGTTCTAGAAACTGGTTATCCATTTGTAAATTACGATTTTATGTTTGTTTCATCCCTTGGTTTTTATGCTATACTCATTCTCATAAAAGTTGTGCTTTGTTACCATTTTTTACAGTGAAATATGTTGCGTTTTTTTATCGTATAATGCGAAGTGAAAGGCACTGTCGAGGCACAGTGCAAAATCAAAATAACGGATATTTCCGTCATTCATAACTAGCAAAAGGTTTATGTTGTAATGCCTTTTTTCAACTATGTAGTGATTCAAAGATAATCAGGAAAATTTAAAGTTATTTGATCTCTAGCGCTCTGTAGCACTCTAACCAGTACATTTCTATGTTTTGACGAATAAGATATACATTTTATAGCTTTATCCTATGTTTGTGAAAACTAGTTTCAAAACTGGTCTTAATCATCCTTCAAAGGTTAAGACTAATTTTGGGAGAATTTGTGCTTTGTAACAAATACTTCTGTAATTCCGTAATTCCATCTCTCTCAAGATTCAGCAAATAACATTTCGTAAGCGTTACCGTCAAGGCAATAAAATTAAAAAAAAAGTAGTAAAATATAGACTATATGAAGTTTATCGGCTATTCATCTTGTACGAAACTGTTGAGATGTAATAGACTGTTTGAAATTTATCCAAAAAAGTATAACATTTTTCAATATTTTAGTAATTCGTATAAAGACGATTGGCAACACGAGAGTAGGTAGGATGATTAGAATATCGTGAAGCATACAAATAATCGCCTCTAGTAGACGCTGAAGTGAGGTTTAATTCTTTTTCTCGACGTGATTGCCATGTTGGAGATAACCAGTATCTATAAAATTGCTTATTGTTCTTACCAAATTTTTAATATTATCGCTATTATCCAAAAAAAGAAGTTGGCTTGTCAGTATTCTTTTTTGGATTTCTTTAAATTGAACGAAAAAAAAAACTTTACTTAGATAATGTGCCAACAGTCATACATCGTTTCTTATACATATTCACCGCATCTTCTATAGGCATATATCTGAATTGAGTTTAGTATTTAAAAAAAAGTGATATCGTTTTATGCATTAATTACTGTAAAATTATGCTGAGAATTAGTTTGAACTGAACATTAAACTGATCATTCAGGTAAGAAGAATTGGTTACTTTAATTATTGCATCTTAATCTCTCATTCATCAAAATGACTTCAAAAGTATTATTTGATGAGCTACCACTTCAAATGTTAGTATATCATTCAATTCTCATTGGACTGAAAAAGAAACAAAAGCAAAAAAGAAAAGTAAAATCAACTTACCGTACATAATTTCGTACAGGCGTAATTGGACGCTCAATATGTGCAGTATAATTAGGCGTTGCAGTAAATCCTGTGCTATAGGCGTTTGATCGACCTTGCAACCATCGTTTCGTTCTCATATCTTGCATACTATAATCCCTAGTTGCCATCTATAATTAGTGATAAAAAGGTAAATAATTCTTTATTTTCTCTTTCCTCTTTCTCATTCCAAGAAATTAATAGCTTCCTTTGTTCCATTCATCTTTAAGGCTAAAAATTATGAGTGAATGTTTAAAAGTTCAAGGCTATGTGTAACTTACCGATTCAGTTTGCGTAAGAATTCCAAGGCCAGTATCTGTGCTTCCATATGAATATCTTACATAAGGATACTTATCAGTGTAGTGCGGTGTACTACGTTGTAAACCAACACTATGAAGCGGTGGTGTTCGAGTTAACACCGAGCTGTACAGTGAGCGTCCAAATAATGATGAAGCTGAAATATCAATAACAGATAAGCAAAACGTTAATTAAATTAGTGAATCTCTCGAGCACTTTTGGCTAATAGCTTCAGTTATCTTTGTTTTTTCACTTATAAAAAAACTTCGTTTACAAAAATTAATTTTGAACTTGGAAACGTACAGGTTCGTGACAATGACTTGGACATATAACCACCACCGTATCCATACTGTGGCATGGTCAGTGCACCACTTCCAAATGATGATGCACCGGATCCTGGGCTGAATGAATATGAGCGTCGCACCGATCTGGCTCCACGTGCTTCAGATCTTGATCTGGCCAACGGTGAAATATAGTGGTATGTTGGACTAGGCATTAAATTCATCTCGTTGTATTCCTTGTAGCTATTCAGAATACACTAAGTTATCTCCTGCCACTTCGTTAATTAATCCCCTAAAAGGGCACTTAAACTTAAATTCTCCAAATTTTCGTAATTTTTCCACGCAAGCCAGTTAATCGTTTACAAACATATCCTTTTTTTGATAGTGCTTTGTTAATGTTTCTTAAAAATTTTTTAAGTTGAATTTTAAAATCCAAAACAAATTTCCAATTCACGCATGGATTCTTCGTTAATACATACGTTAGGATTGATTTATATTTTTCCATTAAAAGACAAAATGGTAAGAGCCTTAGTTTGTTTTAAAAAAAATAACAAAGATTGCTTTTTTAATCAAGTATTATCACTTCTAAAAACTTCTATCAATATAACCATCACAGCTAACATTCTATGTGATGACAGCTCTTCCAAGTTGACATTTCTCATATCTTCGCACAAGTTCCAACTCAGTCACGGAATGTATAAACTTTCAAGAAGAGGTTAAGGGATGGAAAGTTTTAGCGTGATACGTTGGTGATATTTTTAGCAAACATGATATCATTGATAAAATTTATTCGAAGAAATAAAACAAATTTTCTAAATGAAATAATACCACAATAAGCATATTAAATGAAATTTGAAGAAGCAAATAATGACAACATAAAGCAAGAAAAAAGAGGTATATTATAGACGCAATATTCAAATAATTGATCAATAATGCATAGCAAATTGGAAACATGTAATAATGCATAGTAAACTGTAAAACTGAAAACATGTATAACGTTTCCGAACATCATAGACGTATAATAAAATGAGTCAAATGATGTATAAGTTTTCAAATAAAATAAATAAAAATTCTTGCAGCAAAAAAAAAAAAACGAAGTTAAAATTTTTGGACTTCGAAATTAAATGAAAAAAAAGAGGTGTAACATTCGTAGAATCAACAATTGAAAAGCTATAGAGAGCTTTATACAATCTTAGAAATCTGCTAAAAAGCTCAGGAATGCTGCAAGAATATATTGAGTGCTTGTAAAGTTACACAGAGAAAGAGAGCATAAAAAATTATTTGTAAGAAGTAAATATATGACAACCGTTCAAAATTTTCATGGTATTTCATTTGAAAGTCATTTTCTTCACAACAATTTTTAAGCTGTAGCAATGGTAGAATACAATTTTTAAACTTTATAAATACTGCTAAAAAAAGAATAGAGCATCGTAAAGAGAACAATTAGTCAGTAAACATTAAAGTGTAAACAAATGGAAAAAGAAAACATCAGTATTTGAAAAAGCAATAGTAGTAGCGATAGCAGTTGGAGGATTGTGAAGAGGAGCAGATGGGATGGAAGGAAAATTGTGCTGCTGCTGTACTTCCAACAAATCAAACAGCTGCTACTCGCAATGAACAACATTACATACAACGTTGACATACATATTCATAGACGAATCCTTTCTATGCTGCTAATACTGCACTTTCATTCAAGAACATTATTAAAATTAGATCTGGACTTCATTTGAAAGAAAAAAAAAAATAAATGCCACAATCTTATTCAAAATATTTGAGAATTTTTTTATCGCATTTATAGATAAAAAATAAGTGAGAATAAAAAACTTTCTATGATATCAAAAATTTTACCAAAATTTTTTATTGAATTGTTCAGTTAAGATTACAAGTGGAAGCTTTGGGAGTTTGAAAAAAAAGTCATGATAAATGAAACTCCACAAAATTTTAGCTTTCAAATAAATGAAATTCCACAAAATTTCAGTTTTCAAATAAATGAAACTTCACAAAATTTCAGTTTTAAAATCTGAGCCAACTAAAATCGAACAACTAAAAATTGTATAATCTATCCTACAATTAACCATAACAAATTCTATAAATTTTAAAAGTCACCTTTGAATAGATAATGAAAAAATAACTTCGAGTTTTTTGAATATATTAGTCTAATTCAAGCCGTCTACGAAATTTGGTCGGAGTATCATCCATATTTACATAGTCTCGGCGTCTTCGCTTAAAAACTGATGACCGACTCGTACTGGGAAGTGGCAAGTCACAATCATCACATGCATATGGAAGCTAAAATGAACAAATCTAACCTTTTGTTAACTAACTGATATCGAAATACGTAAACATAGTATTAAAGAAAATGACCTGAAAATGGATTGCTGTATTATCTTGAATGATTTAATTGATCATTAAATTTATATTCATTGTACCTTCATATAGACATTAAAAAAAACCATATAGTCACGAAAGCAGATTTATAAAATGTTTCAACTTATTTACATTACGAAGAATGCAATCTACTATCAAAAGTACAGAAATTATCTTACCGATTGAAAATAATAAGAGCGGAGTGCTTCAGTTGCATTCCACCTTTTATTTGGATCAAACCTGGAAGATTTCATGATCTATTTTTTCTTTGTGGGAGAAAAATAATAGAGTTGCAAAAATTGATGAAAATATATGTCTTAAATATAGCAAAAAAGCGAAAATATCGAAAACTGCATAAAAATGATAAAAAGATTGGAAAACCTTAAGCACTGATAAATTAATTCAATGAGATCATCGCCGGCAGCAGTGAATACACTTTTAAGCGGAATAGGTGGCATTGGTTTTATGGCGATATAATCGGGAAGATCCTTCATTCCCTGAAAATGGGAAATAGTAGTGTATAAAAAATAGACAATTCATGAATTTCAATCTTTCTTTTGCCACTTACCGGCCAATCCTCTTCTGTTGGTGTT